GATCCCCCCAAGATCCCCCCAAGATTACCCCAAGATAACTCCCAAGAATCTAGCCCGCGCAGGGCAGCTTAAAAAGCCAGGCAAAATTCCCCAACCACCCCCCCCATCCCGCAGGCCCCCCCAGGATCCCAGGCTCACTGGTGAGGCAATAAACGAAGTTCCCACAAGAGAGCTTTCGTGACTTGCTGTTCCCATTGCAAGGTTAGAAAACAGTGCATTATTTTGTTGAACTTCCCCGAAGTACTTGTCACACAACGATGTGAAGATGAGGCGGTAGATTTTGCTTGACGTCTGTTTTGCTGCCCTGGGAGCAAGGTGAAGTTCCCAACATGCGTGCGTTGCAAATTCAAGTTATACATCCCGAATTTGTGGACCTGAAGTCCATCCATCAACCTTCAACACTTAGGAACAAAGTCAGAGACATGCAACACCGCGCAGTGACCTTAAAGTTGTCCCGCTGCGCGAACGCAAAGGTCCTCATGAAGGTCAAAGCGTCTCAGAATATCCCAGGCTGATTGCATCATCTTCAAATTGCACACCAGAAGACCAGGATATGGGTTATTATTGAATCCATGAACCCTGGAAACAGCGAACGCTATGCAGAGGTGTGCTTGGAATCAACATCGCGTACACTTCAGGGGCTGCGAGGCTTGGACCTTTTGAACAGAGCTTTCCTACAGCTGGGTTGCCTCCTGCGCTCAAAACAAGACGCCTTGCCCTTGCTAAAGGCCAAAGAACCTAAACTCGCAACCGGCTACCTGCCACATCCCACAAGCCCCTACTCCTCACTTGTGGCCTACATCCCATCCTCCAGCGGTAGTAGATGTGCTCTGGCGTGTCGCGCTGGAAGAGGAAGCTAAAAGCTCCCTGGAGTCCGCAGGCATTCAACTGTTGTCTACTGACTTTTGAAACGGAAGGATTTGGAATTGTGCTTCTCTTGTAGCCTTCACTGAACTTGCTGCAAATCGGAGTCATGTCCGCGCATGCTGACGGCAAGCTCCATGCCCTGATATTGTTGTAGATGCATGTGCTACTTTGAAGCTTTACCGTCCCACGATTCTTCAAAATGTTGTTGAGATCTCCCACAACCATAAATATCAATTCTTGAGCTAGCTGCACAAAGCTCCAAAGTATGAACTTGGATGTTGCCTTAACTACCAGAGATCAGGGATATCCACAAATATCACAGCGAGAGCGAGAGAGAGAGAGA